CGTATTATTATTAAGAGAGACATAAAACATTTTGTGGAGCAGGGTTTTGTTCATGATCTGTTTGGGTTTGAATGGGGAAAAATCGATCTGTGTGCTGATGTTGAAACTGCATGGTCTTATTTTTATCTTGGTTTTATGGAAATTATAGATAGACATGCACCCCTACGTACTTTTAGAGTAAAGGGACGAGACAATCCTTGGTTTTCTGCTGAACTGTCCAGTCTCCTGCATGAGAGAAACAAGGCCTGGGCAAAGGCTAGGAAATCAGGCTCAATCAATGGCTGCGTTTTAGGCAGCTAAGGAATAGCTTCACTTCACATGTCAAAAGTGCTAAGTCGAAGTACTATTTGTCAGTTACTACAGAAAACCTAAATAATCCTAGGAAATTTTGGAAAGCCATAAAATCGCTATCCACCGGTGAGATCCGAAATGAGCTACCTCCGTGCATTACCACAGCATCTGGCTCTATATCGGACAGGGCTACTATGTTAAATTGTTTTAATGAGCATTTTGTGTCCTGTGGCTCTCTGTTTGATTCTGTGACTAACTCTGCTTCTGTGAACACCACAGTCTGTGACTCTGAACAATGTGGTCTGGAAAACCCTTTCAGTTTTACTCCTTTTACTGTTGATGTTGTTCGTGAAGCTTTAACCAAGTTAGATCCTAAGAAACCGGCCGGCCCGGACAACGTGGAACCTTTCTTTTTAAAGATGGCTGCAGATTTTATTGCTCCACCTCTCACTACTCTTTTTAACCTCTCCCTCAGCACAAACACAATTCCAAAACTGTGGAAGTCAGCGTATGTCCTGCCTTTGCTGAAAGGAGGGGAAGCAACTGTTTTAAATAATTATAGGCCCATCTCTAAATTGTCAGTTCTGGCTAAGGTTCTTGAACGCCTAGTGAGTGAGCAGGTAAAGGTGTTTTTATGTACAAATGACATCCTGTCTAAACATCAGTCAGGCTTCAGAAAGCAACATAGCACCATCACTGCCACAATGAAAGTGGTGAATGACATTACAAGTATTTTAGATAATAAGCAGAGTTGTGCAGCTCTATTTATTGATCTTTCTAAAGCGTTTGATACCGTCGATCATCACATCTTAAAGCAGAGGCTACTCAGTATTGGCATATCCAGCCATGCAGTGGGGTGGTTTGTGAACTACCTCTCTGAAAGGTCCCAATGTGTTCATTTTGATGGGCTGTCTTCTGAGTGGTTGAACATTGCTAATGGTGTTCCTCAAGGTTCTGTTTTAGGTCCACTTTTATTCTCCATCTACATCAATAGTTTAGGTGAAAATGTGGATGAAGCTACTTTGCATTTTTATGCGGATGACACCGTGATGTACTGTGCAGGTCCCTCCATTAAGGAGGCGGTTGTTAAATTACAGGCTGTTTTTAACATTATTCAGACTCAGCTCTCTGAACTAAAGCTTCTTTTAAATGTTGAGAAAACCAAAGTAATGCTCTTTTCTAAAGCTAAAAAGACTCAAGAGACTGCTTTGGATATTGTTACTATGCAAGGACAAGTACTCAAAGTGGTTACCTGTTACAAATACCTTGGTATCTGGCTTGATGATTGTCTTACTTTTAAACTTCACGTCACTAATCTGCTTAAAAAGCTGAGGGTTAGATTAGGTTTCTTTTTCAGAAACAAGTCCTGTTTCTCTTTTGAAGCCAGGAAAAGGCTAGTCACTGTGACCTTTTTACCTGTGCTAGACTATGGTGATTTGATCTACATGAATGCACCTGCCCATTGCCTGGAAAGGTTAGATGCCGCCTATCACAGTGCTCTGAGATTTGTTACTAACTGTAAAGTACTTACTCATCACTGTACCCTGTATGCCAAGGCAGGTCTGCCTTCACTTACTGTTCGGAGGCTCAGTCATTGGTACATATTCATATATAAAGCCATGCTGGGTAAACTACCGACTTATATATGCTCTTTGATCTCACGGAGAGTGGCAAGTAGCTATTGCCTGAGATCCCAGGATGTGTTTTTATTACATGTGCCAAGTGCTAGGACTGTTTTAGGTACTAAAGCTTTTATGTGCGCTGCTCCTCTGGCTTGGAACACCATGCAAAAAATATTGAAACTGAGCATTTTGATTCCCTTGCATCATTTTAAAGCACGGCTGGATGAAATGTTATTGGATACCTGTAAATGTAAATAGATGCTAATGTATACCCCTGTAATTATGTTGTGATGTCCTTTTGTTTTCTGTTTGTTTTTATATGTGTAACTCAATGTACCGCAGGTCTCCCTTGAAAAAGAGATCGTTGATCTCAATGGGATTTTAACCTGGATAAATAAAGGCTACAAACAAACAAACAAGCAGAAAAAAGCCATCTATTTTCTCTAAGTTACATTAAAAAAAGATTTAATCAGATTACTGCATTTCTGAAATATGGGGATTACTATCAGGATTACAGTTTGAGTAAATCTAAAAAGATCATATAGTGTTTGTTGTAAAGGATCAGATGTTATCTCTTCTCTGTCAACTGTACTGTTCTGTAGGATAATACTTTAAGTGTGAATCTATATGTTCATAAAATAGTGTGTGTGAGCTGAACTGTGTGTATGAAACTTAAACGGAGCATTTCTGTCAGCTCTGTCATTTCTATTTCTGCTTTTTAAACTGTAGTATGTGCTCATGTGTTTCAGTGTTGGTGTATATGCTGCTGTCTGAATATGCTTCATGAAAGGCAGCTTTTCCTATCAATACAATCATTTCTGAACCTAAATATCTCGGTTTCTTCTTTTCTAAGGTCACATCGTTCTGTTCATTTAAATAAAAACATCTTATTAATATTTCTGTTGGCATAATACATTTATTAAAATCAACGTTTCATTTTTTTCAGTGTGCCAGGCACGCTACCTTTAGCGGTCCCAAAGGAGCTCTAATCAAAAACAAAGATGGAGAGAGTGCTGTTCTGGGGGGGGGGGGAGGTAAGGAACCCCCAAAGGTTCCAGCCAGAAGACCACATGGTCTGTATCACGCTATGATCTCACCAGAGGAGTCATGACTTCAGGCCCAACACATCATCATTACACATCAGTTACACAGCACCCTCACACACTGATGAGAAACCATCAAACAGCAGTCTGGTTCATTGTTATGAAGATTTATTGGACATAATGGGTATACAGATGTCATGCTTATTTACAGCTTATAAAAATTCAAAAACAAAATAAAATCATGAAAAGTTTTACACATTTTTTACAAACGCCCGAAAAAAGGCAATCTTGGCATCATGGGAAAGATCAAACTCTTCATGGTTTGAAAAATAAAACTGCAGTAAAACCACAAAGGGGCCCGAACCATCCAACTGCAGTTTCATCTATTTAACTATTGTTGAGTTCAAACATAGGCACGAAACATTCACACACATGACATCACACACGTAGAACACAAAGTACACATTCATAGAAAAACATGAGGTAGTCAAATGGTTACAAAATACAATCAATAACTAGATGGTGGATTTGTGCTCCACTTACAGCTGTTGTTCAGCAGTAACTATCAATCCTATAGGAAAGGTATCTTTTGCTTCCATAATAATGCCTATTTGATCTGATACAGCATCATTATGTCATACTGCCCCCGTGTCTCCTAAGAATGATGCCTGACAACAACTCAACTGTATTTTCATTGACTTTCAAGGTAAACATGTTTTCCCCCGGATTACAGTGGCAGTTTTAAACACATGCTTAACGTTGTGAAGTGAAACAAAAATATATGGTTAGGTTTTGGTAAAAGATCATGTTTTAGGTCAGAATGAGTTTGCTCCGTAACAAAGGTTATTTGCCCAAGTTAAGAATGTTATACAAGTTGAAATGCGTATATCTAAGTTAATGCAGACGTCATCAGTATGTTGCAGTAAGTGCGTAATGTAAGTTAAATTGCATACGTAATATTAAATAAGTCTACAAGGACTTTGTCTTATTTGCGATATGTGAAATAAGTTTCCCTCAAAGCATATTTTAGATTTCAGTTTTGTTTAAGGTTAACATCATTTAAAGGAGACGAGGCACTGAGGCAGTAAGCATGGGGGCATGTTTATATTTTCAGTTTGATTGAATATTCCAAAATGATCTGAATTAAGAAGATTAGATCCAGGACACAACATGACGCTCAGCCACTTAACAGCTGGAGTTAGCGGGGGGGGGGGGGGGGGGGGGGGGGGGATAATTACTCATGGGAGATGGACAGTAGATAAGAGAACCTCAAAACTAAAGGAATGTCAGAAAGCAGAGATCCCACAATGAGCGCTGATCGTAGGCTTCCCTCTCTGCAGGACATGGGGGGGGGGGGGGGCACCACATCTCATGCTGTTTATTTACTGAGGAACTGAAGGTTAGGCACACACCTGGCCACATGTCTGCTAACACAAACGAGCTCTAATGTTCCCAAGAGGCTCAACTACTCAATAAAGTGTTTTGGAAAACAGTTGAGTTTCCAGAAACAAAAAAACAGATAGTTGGATTTGTTCCACCCTCCATTCTCTCTTAATATATACACACACATTTCACATTCAACTTTCATTATGGTTTATTGCTGCCATCTTTAACCGTTGATCCATTTGTTTTCATTATTTTGAGGGGATTCACCTCATAGTTGTGAAAAGAAGGGTTTTTCTCTATGACAATACATCAAGTAAGGATACCATTATTTACCTAGACTTTGTGAAAAATAAAGTTAATAATTATTGCTATCATTTTGAAAGAAAACAGTGATTTCCTTACTTTATATGTAAATATATTTTGAGTTAGAAAAGGATCTATACAAAACAGTTATTAGATGATGACAAACTGTGACAGTGATCAAACATAAGGAGTTGTATTCTGTCTGATCATACTCATCAAACCGATCACATGTTTTATGACACAATAAACAATGACTTGCAATAGCTTCAAATGTAAATATGATGTCAAAGTTAGTTTGTATCAAAGAGTGGACTTGGTTTATACTCTAATATAAAATAGATTTAAAAAAGGTGAATCATTTTGTATCTCCATATTTAATTGTCATCAGTTAAAGTGTCAGAAAGCCGTGCCATGAGGCCTCTATGAATACATCCCCTCACACACACACGTGTGTATTGTATTAGCATATCCACAGTTCACAGTACAGTAACACACATACAAGACAATAGGTTTCTCTTGGTAAATATATTCCAAAATATAATTTTATACACAAATATATATTTAGACTCTGTTCCCTCTGTAGAAAGCTTTACACATGTTTACATAAGATAAAAAGCTTAGAGATAATATACATTCTGTTTTTCTTGTCATGGTTCTGGAGTTCAAAGGGCCCACACACACTCTGAGAAACACACCCAGGTTAGTGGAAGGCACTACAGCAAACATTCATATTATTCTGAGGTGGGGGGGCAGTCGGGTGATGCACTTTAAACAAAAGAAGAAAATAAAAGATATGTCCATAACAATGAGCTGCAGCTTATATAACAGTCCGTGCCGAGAGAAGAGATCTACACTGCACACTGTGGCTGTATAGTGTCATCTGCTCTGACTGTCTGATACGCTGAGAAACATTTACTGGATTTATCTTTTCATTATTTATCAAAAAGAAATGCCAAATATTTCACTTTATACCGTTTCGCAATTGTGAGGAATTCCTGTGTTTGTGAATGTCCTCAAAAGGGTCCATGGGGAAATGGATTTGTAACATCATGATTCTTCTTTTATCACTTTTAAGATGATACATGGTATTAACTTGTATCTTTCACTGATAAACTGGTCTAATCTTAAAGTACAAGAACAGAATTTGCACACACTCTTAACCGCTTAACATTTGAGAGTATTTACAATATTTACACAAATATACAGGTCCTTAGAGAATAGGTTAGCATTTTGGGAGCTATGCTATGTTGTGCAGGATTGAAAGCACAGACATGAGAGTGGTAAATATCTTCTGATCCTGTCTCCTAAAGATTACGCTGCCATACAAGACAACTGCATTTTCAATTATGTATTTTCTTTTCCGGATTACAGTCGCAATTACACAAATTTAAATTTAAACAAAAGTAGCAATCCAAACTACTTGGATATTTAAAGTAAAGGCTAATGGTTCAGATTTCATTTACCTAGAAAAGTGACCTACGTGACCTCAATAAAGTATGTCACACAAGCTTACTGAATACGTACGTTAAAATGCACATTTGACTTTTGGTTTAGTAGTACAGTAGTAAGTAGTGTGTTTGACCTATTTACCCACAGAACTCTACGCAGACTTTCATTTGAAACATGATTACGCTACGTCGGACACAAATGACATCGAAACGTATTTGACATATCATATTGTAACGTAACTTTTAGGAGACCGAGGGTCTAACTTTTGGATGGCAAGCAAATAAAGGAATTCCCAAAATGTGAAACTATTCCATTAACAATGACCAAAAAAAGGGAACCCATAATGCCCCTGTGAAACTCTGTAAAAGAATGGACTCAACTGAAATGCAGTACTAGTATTACCACATAGAAAAAGGCACTGGTGAAATATGTTTTGCCAACCTGCGTGTATAAATCCATTATAAGGGAAGAGTTATTACAAAATGTGGCATTCTATCAGCATGTCTTTCACATTGTTCTTTCACATTTTTTGGCGAATACTCTTCTGCATACATTCAATATCTATCTTGCATCTTCTAAAAGCCATCTCTCGGTCAAGATGACGACTTATGTCATACTGCACTTTTGTCCGCATGTTAATAGTGGTTGCTTCGCCACCTTTAGGGTTGCGTGTTGTGAAGTGTAACAGTCCAGCCATTAACATCTCACGTACTAATACTGACATCACTGCAGCCTGGTTGCTTTCCTTGCTGTTGCAGTACACCTGCTCATTACAGACAGCCTACACCTCACCATTTAAGGCCAAAACAAAAGGCTTTTGCTCAGAAAAGAACAGCATTAGGATTGGAATGAAATGCCTTGCATAAAGGTATTTTCCTGTACTAAATATGAGTTGAGGCTGCCAAGGTCACTACTTTTACACAGCAGTAACACCAGGACAGTTTATTAGTCTGGCACAAAAGGAATTTACAGGACCAAAGGTGTTTTTGTGTGTTTTTGTGTGACCTTTAACATTCCCCTAATAATTCCTTTCATGGAAGGAGTAGAACAAAGCGGTCCCTGTGAACCTTGGGGCCTGGGCAGGGGTCCGGGCAGGGGTCCGGGTCGGGGCTACGCCGTGCTGCTGCTGGAGCAGGGCGTGCTCTGGGTGCTGCCCACACTGTGGCCCGGGCTGCTGTTCTCTGAGGCCGGGAGGGGCTTCTGGACCTGCTGCCTGCCAGCTGTCTCACCTACACAGGGGGAGAGAGCAGGAGAGGGGGTGAGGAGGGGTGAGGACCAAAGGGAGGTAGAATTTCTTTAATATATATTACAGAAAGGCAGGAGCATGACAAATCGGTTTGCTTAAAGCTACAAATTGTCCTCCTCCTACATGCTGGAACCTTCATTGTACCTCTTTAAAGAAAAAAGTACTGTTTAATCTCCTACCGTTTACTATGACTGTCACCACCTGACACAAAGCTTACACTTTATATCAAATACAATTCTTTTCATGACGTTTTGTGACTAGCCATCACACATTTTCACTCAAGCATGAGCAAAAAAGGATCCAGTTTCAGTACAAAGACCTTGGCTAAAAACTGCAAGAAGAACTCTGGATTTGATCTGTGCTAACTTTTACCATCTTCAAGCACAGTCTGCTACAGATTTACAAAGTGTTTTCAACAGCTTGGACCCACAAAATGTCACCTCAGAGCGCCCAGAAACAACCAGTCACATCCTATCTGTCAGATGACATCTGGGAGACAAAGGAGGATTCCTGTTCATGGAATTCATTTCTTTGGTTATCTGGATTCAATTAGCCTGGCTTTAGTAGATAAAGCAGAACAAACACAGGACAGGACCTACTGACTGGAGCTCAAACCACTGACTGGTTTATTGTTCTATGACTAAATAAGCATTTCATTTTGTACACTCTTGGGATCCAGCGCTTTAAATGAAAAGGGAAAATAAAAGTGTTTACATTTGTTTACAAAAAATGTCTCTGACAGACAATGAACAGCTTTGGAAGTACAGCCAAGTCTGGGTTTCATTTGAGTATTTGGCACACACGTGTTAGTGAAGTCTTTCCCTTGTTTGTTTCCTAGATTTATTTTGCCCTAATACATAGAGAATGTTTCTCTAAGATAAAGGTTTTCCCATCGATAGTCTTGTTTGTACCTAAAGTTGAGTGTGTATATTCAGTGACTATAAGAATATATGGGTCCACTGGCGGTCGTGCATCCCGCTCCCTCTTTGGGGCCCCTTAGTTCTGCTAATGTTTACCAGAGCAGAGCTGCCAGAGGTCTTTCCCTCGCAGGACCAAGAAGCTTGAAAACAAAGAAGCTTGGATTCCCCTCATCTTTCTAAGGAAATGTAAATTCCCAGGTCCAATATTATCTTGGTGAGAGGAGAGATAAAGGCTGTTTTTATGTCACAGAAACATATTGTGTATAAAAACTCGGACTCAAGGACAATTTGCCTCCGAACTTAAATGTCTAAATCAAGACCTGGGACCAGATCAACATGTCGATGTATCCTTGGACAAGATACTTAACCCAGAGTTGCTCCCGATGGCATGGCCAGCGGTGTATGAATGTGTGTGAATGTGAAAGTGGCACTGCTCTGTATGGGGGAGGTGGGAATGATGACTTGTAATAGTAATAGCGCTTTGAGGGGTCGTAAAGACTGCATAAAGTGCTATATAAGTACAATCCATTACAATCACCATTTAAACAGTGATCAGATAACAATTTGTACTTTTTGGCACTGGATTAAAAGTGACAATTAATACTAAATGGAACATGAATGTATTAAACAAAGGTTAAGGCGATGTCATCTGACAGCTGTCAAGGAATAACACACAAAACTAAACTTCTCAGTGATGCTAGAGGAAAGGTCAGAGGATCGCCAAAGGCACAATAATCCTTCTTTTGGAGACATGAACGGCGGGACAACATTTCATGACAATCCAAACTATAGTTTCACCATGAAGGGGTTCTCACTTTAAAAAACATACAAACTAGCTACTAATATATAATGAAACGTTGGTCTTTGTTAAAGCCATGCTTCAAAAAGTACGTTTCCTAGTCGTACATTTCTTGCTGTCACTAATGTTTGCGGCCCTTCAGTTGTATTCGTAGCCAAATAGTATTTAATCACATATTTCTAAACCCTGATTCTTAGTGGTGACATTTACCATTGGCACTCTTTGATGCAATTATTTCTAAAATCTTTTGTGTATGTGGTTTCAACAATTGAGCAGAGGTAGAGAGCAGATCTCTCAACAGACATGACTGCAGCCCTGGCAGAATGCATCGTGAATGTGCCAACATAATGAGCAGGATGTCAGATCATATATTAAGGGTTCTTAGAGACACTTTGGATTGCCCTATATGGAGTAAAACTGCAATGGATACAAAACCTTTAATGTAATGCCAATGAGTAGTAACTTCAAAATAACTTTATTTCTCAAGAGTTTCTGTCCTCAGACCCTGAGGGGATAGACCCACATCTCTTTTCATGTTCCATCCTTCTGTACACAAGTTTAAAATACACCCTGAACTGATATGTTGGTGGTTTTTTAGGGGATCTACATACTTGGGGTTTATAAGGAACTGCCAATATTGCCTTGTAAGGTAATTTCAGCAAAGACAGCTTTACACGCCCAGCTAAAGCCTATTTTAATAACATCAGCAAGAACATGTTGTAAAACTATTTCCAGAACTACTATCCTAACACCTGTTTCTCTCTCCATGCTTACTTCTCATAGCGTTGGAAAACCATCTAATAAGGCTCTCTAGGAAACCCATCAAACTTTAGTCAAGTGGCTTTCTAAAGAGAAGCCAATATCAATGTTGTGATAAAGATAAGGGCACTGAAATCTGACATCTGATCTTTTTTATACTACTTGAAATCCTGTTCAGTAAACACAAGATATGATTTAGAATGAGTGGAACAGTTTGTAATAGTTCTGACAATGTGTCCGGATCTTTGGATGATTTACTAATCCATTTAATATGTCTACATGTAAGCTTTTGTTCTATGCGTAAACTCAAACACGTTGTATTTTCTGAGAACACCCCGACCCCTTTATAAAAGACGTCCATGGTGAACACATCAGCCGCAGGGCCAGCAGGTCAATGGCATGGCTGATCACCAGTCAAGCAGCAAAGCCAATGAGAACAGGGCAGCTCTGCACAACGGTGAACTCCAGAGAGCTGCTGGGAGCGCACTTCCTCCCGGGGGTCAGCAGGGGTCGGCAGGCTGGGGACGATGGGGAAGCTCTTGGCATCTAATGAACAGATTGTGTGTCCTTTCCTGTGAGGGCCACTAAACCCAACAACGGGGGTTTCCAACTCGTCCCAGCCATTGTACTGAGAGTATTCGTTGACCACCCCGCAGCTCCCAAAACATTCAAAGGCAGGAAAGAGAAGAGCCCTCGCTGCTGACCAACAGGATATATTTACAGTAGAGGAGTCAATCTGTTATTGTGAACCGGCCTCTGTCAGCAGCAGGATGTTTGGCATTCCCAGCGGCACATTTCTGGCACTCGGACACTCGAGCATTCTTTAGCGTCTTATCTTTTCATTAGTGTAGAGAGGTGAGCGGGGCCGGGGAGCAGCAGGTAAAGGACCTACCTGTGTGTGAGTAGATAAACCACAGGGCTCCGGTCAACAGAGCCCCAATCACGAAGGCTGCGAAGGCGATCCCCACCACTGTGGGGGTGTCCAGCACGTATGGCGCGTCTGCAAACAGAAGAGCACACAGTTCATAACTTGGAATAACACATTCAAATATACATAATAATAAGTATTTATATCAATAAATTGTAAGACAATCATCAAATTTAATTAAATGTATACATCATTTAGGATAAGACGCTTATTGTCATTGTGATGTTAAACACAAAAATTGTTTTTGGTTTGGAAGCAATCCACTCTCCAATAACTCGTATAAATATATTTAAAAAATGAGAAATGTTTAAAAAAAAATGACAAATAGTCATTGTTATGTACTGTACATACATTGTGCATAACAATTACATAACATCAAGAAATATATATCTTATTGGTTTATGTAAGCCTTTAACCACATGTATTTATTGAATTATTCATTTTCAAGTCTTATTTGTTTATTTAATACTTAAGGGCTCCATATAATTCACATACATGTTAATATGAATAGAAGAGAATAATACATCTTGAAACTTGTGTACAATCACTTACTATCATCATCAGGATACGGTGGTGTTTCAGAAGAAGCTACAACAAAAATACAAATGAAAGTATGTCTCATTATCATGTACGCGTATCACATTCATACATAGTGAATTGTTCAGAAGGTCAGCTGTCAGCTCCAGGCCAGAGGACCAGAACATTACTGATACTGCCCTGAGTTGATAAGCAATTCTCTGAGGAATGTGACACAGAAACCTGAAGCAGGAAGAGAGCAGCCATACTATCAGCTGATGAACCTACTGACTCTGAACACTGTATTTCAAGCCCTCATAATGATGTCTTAACAAACAACACAAAGGCTCTTTTGTAATCTAAAGAGGCGAGCCTGGTGCACGTCCAAGACTCAGGCACAATGCACGCTATTCTTGGAAAGAACACCTTTGAGTTTTCATTTTGCATAATGAATGATGACAGGTCATCAGAGAGGACTTTCATTTCAGAGGGGACGATGGCCAGAGGACGTCCTCTCTGCCAACCTCCCCCCCCCCAATCGTTCCAGTGTTATCTGTACAGTACAGAAAAGGCAGAAAGAGCAGGCATAAGGGAGGCCAGCATGAGACATCGGTGTGTTATGTTGTCTTGTAATGGCCTTCGTAATTGTTGGGATTTAAATATAATCACTTTTACAAACTGACTAAGAAAGTTTCATTCATCATCAAAGTTTTTGAATATGTACTTTTCATCGCTCAAAAGCATTTAAAGAGTTATTTGACCACCCAGTGTCATAGATATCAAAACAGCATCATCCAAAATAGTGTCTGATTGTGGCAAGAGATCGCATTACAGTTTTATATCACAGATCATGGCAAAGAAAGATATTTATGAAAAATATGAAAGTATTGATTGTGCTATAAGCAGCTAAATTATAACTTTTCATTATTATCAATCATTAATGAACCCTGATTGGGAATAGCACCATTGCACGCATGTCAATCATTCAGAATCTAGCAGGCTTTGACTTTTATTCAAATGCAACCCTGGCTGTTTCATTCTGTCTTGTTTTATGAATGTACGCAACAAAAATAAAAAGCATGAGTCAGTGTGCAAGGTTTCTGTGCAGAACGATTTGTATTGGATGACAGATTTAATAAAATGCATACCAAATAAATGGACTTGTGTGCAAAGGCCTTAAACTGGACTCATATTTTATTTGTTATGTGGAGAATTGACATGACTATCATCTTATAGCTCCCATGGTTAAACTGAAACTCAATGTATCTTTTCATATAACGCCTTGATGTCTTCGGGGAACTATTCCCTTCTGGACGCCTGTCAGTTCTTACATTTTGCTGACTATTTCAACAGAACCACACAGTACCCCTGAAGTTAAAATCATGACTTATGTTCCTCTGCCAGAGTTGAAAGAGGTCTCTATTATTTCTAGGAACGTCATTTGTTTATGTACGTTTTCTTGCCATGGAATGAGAGAGAATGTTTTTGTTTAACTCTGATCTCTCCTCACACAGCGCAAAACCACTGATATCCTCTTCTGCAAGACCCTTGACATTGGATGTTCTTATTTATAAAGCCCAGTACAGTTGAACTCGACAGTTCAAAACGTTGTTACTGCAATAAGCTTGGTCTATGAGGCTATTAGCACCCAACTAAATGATGATATACAGTGGTTTATATAGTGATACAGGTTTCTCATAATGGATCTGTTCAAACAATATGCCTTTTGAAGTGTGGATGATTTATATTTTGATTGGTACATAATCTACAAGAGTTTTTCAATTCTGCTTTTGTGATAACGTTGGCTTTTTGACATCAGTCCAGTGTATATAATAGCCCATAGGGAGATCAAAATACATTAAACCTAATATTATGCCGTTTTTATTTTGACACAGATTATATTTTATTAAATGTAATGTGAATAAACGTTTTTTAAGTTTCTATCTTCTTCCCTTACTCTTTGCAGTATAAACTTAATACTACTGGTGTGAGTTATATAATCCACACTGCCAACCTCTCAAATAAACGATACTTTTCAACTTTTCTGAACTTTACCAGATCCAATAACATTTATTGTGAAGCAGTAAATCTGCTCCTGATGGCTGCGCTCTGAGGCGGTTATGTTTTTCCATGCACCAAGTTGGCCACAAGTGGCCCTCTTTGATTTGTAGATGGACTTGAGCTCTTTGGGATACCATCCAGTGCAGAACTGTGGCCCTTGAAAAGGCTGCTTGTTTTGTTTGCCTTTGTGTTATAAAACCTGCTCTTTGAAATAGGGTTTTTTTCACTGTGTTTATTTCATATTTGTGTTGACTTAATCGGTGCCATGGAAAAGAAACCTGCTGCACCCGCTGGATGTTGGTGTGGCTGTGCATGTTTCTCACCCTAGCTCAGCTAACTCACTCATACTTTAACAACACGTTTCTGATCACCAATGTCTTCAGCAGCTTGCTAACATTAACACTGGACTTCTGTGCCAAAAAATGACCACATCTACTGTTTATCTCTGCGGGACCCTACATTCATTTCAGTTCAGGAATTTTCTGTACAACTCTGGCCCCTCACGCTACAGCCAGGCTGATACCAGATTGTACAACCCGATACTTGTATTTGTATAGTTTTGCGTATGGCCGCATCCAACAATTGTTTTTACTATCAATTAGCCTATTTTGTCTTAGTTGGTCAAAAGTGTTGAATTAGTCAAAAACGCTGACTAAAAGACCAAGTTGTCATATTGGCTTGTACTGTCTGTCAAAAGTCTTACCACTCAAAGGTATAATGATAAACCATGGTCGTTTAGGATTATCAGTACATTTGAGAGGCTGGAGCCAATCCATTTGTTTTTGTTTTTAAATAAATTATTTAAACAATTAAACAATTTTGAAAAGAAATTGTCATATATTTCAGTGGGGCCAGGAGCATGACAAATCGGTTTGCTTAAAGCTACAAATTGTCCTCCTCCTACATGCTGGAAAAAAGTACTGTTTAGTCTCCTACCGTTTACTATGACTGTCACCACCTGACATAAACCTTACACTTTAGATAAAATACAATTCTTTATGATGAGGGCCCAATACTGAACATTTGATTGGTTATAACAGAAGACACAAAATGGTCTAAGCCCCCAGGTTTCTCCTAATACAACGTTTGTATGAATATGATGTGTGATTGTAAATCGGAAGCAAATCATTTCAAACATATTTGCCAGTGCTTGTCTTTGCTTCTGTTGGGCAAACTATGTTTATCACACTCTTTTATACTACCGCAAACACTCTAAATCTTTTTTATTTCTCTATAGCAATTTCATGTTGCTTATAAGCTTAAATATAAGACAGTACAATATATCCACATTAGGCTTAAAAAGTCTAATATTGGCCTTGCTGATATATGAGTCATGCTCTAGCTCACACTGATTAAAATGATGTGGTTTATATAAAAGACTTGAGTCAATGAAGTTGACTCAAACTGACCACAGGCTCTGGTTGAAGTCATTGCTCAGAGGGAGGCTGATTTGAATCGCTTTGGCTGACCACCAGAGATCGGGCACTCATGATATCACCCCATCTCAGTTTAGGTCATAATTAGTTAAATGTGAACGTGGTTACCTCAGGCCTCCCCCCACATCTGCGGGCTGAACTCACTCACAGCCCAGGAGAGTCCACAACACAGCGAGTGAATGGAGAGTGGTTAAACAAGAGATGATGGAGGGGCCCTTTAGGCTCTGGCTGGACCTCCACTCCCCTCACACTCCTCCCTTCTCCCCCTCTCTAGTGGAAGGCTGAGGCCACAGTGAAAGTCCTAAGTGAAAACAACTGGTGCTGTATGACTCCTTTTTTTCCACCCCTCCCTCAGCATGGACCGGTCCAGAGCAGCCGAACTGGGCCTCTGTGTTTGCACACGCCCCTTTACTGCAGTCCACCACATTGTACACACACCCAAAAACACACACACACTCAAAAACACACACACACTCTTGTGTACAGACGTTAATGTAAACACGGCAAATGTGCATTCACACGCACCTGCATACACAATCACACAACACAGTGCTGGTAATGATGACCAGAGGTGGGGAAGTGATGTTCAGGGTTTTGTGGTTTGGTCTAATCTCTGAGGATTGGACTGAGCTTTCTCCGACTCCTTCGCCCGCTCAGACTTGATTCTCTCTTTACTCCAGTTTTCAAACCACACTTAACACTCAAAACAATGGAAAATCAGGGCTTCACTTATCATTTGTGGTGCTGATAAAACCAAAATGAAAATGAGAGAGCTTTGTAGACATTTAGAAATGGAGTACAGGTTGAGCCCATGGCATAAGGTCTAAGTTTGTGTGAAAGGTTATATTTTCATTCCCTCTTTACTAACCTTGGTTCTTCTGACGGACCAGATCCATCCACCACGACCAGCGGCTTTGTGGACGTCTTGCTGTGCATTATCATCGACATGATATTTTCCACAGAAGGAGAATCGCAGGTGTCACTCGGTTGTAAGCACTGCATGGACAAAAAAAGATCTGAACTTAAAACTAATAAATGAACAGTGAAAAGCCAAAACTGTACAGCATTTCATTTTACATTCTGTTTTTAGCTCACCTCTATTTTACTTTATAACTTCTCCTGAATGATGTACACATTAGTCTTGCAAAATTCTCGTAATTTCCTACTTTGTTTCTTCTTGCACTTCTTTAATTGTTTTTTTGATTTGTTTTATTGTTAAATGCAAATAAAGTGGAGGAACGTGCTTGCAGGAGATTGTCTAAATTGGACAGAGAACAGTAAGAGAAAAATGAAGATGAAAATCAAGACAGATGTTTGTTTGGTTCTGCAGCTGGATACTTGGCGAATCTCACTTAGATTCATGTTTCCTGATAGTGAAAGGCTCGGGTCAGCCACAGTTAGGATGGGGCACGACTACACCAACTTCAAATCTCCTAAAATAACATCGCTAATAAACTCTCGAGAGACTTGTGCTGTAAAATAATAAAAGATGCAAAAGTATAAAAGTCATTTTGAAAGTAAAGAGTGCATACCGGAGGCATTCTTTGGTTGCTCTGAGAACTCTTGGAGCACAGAGACATATCGCAGTGCAGGAAGAGCAGGGACAGGTTGAACTGAGAGTTGAAGGTGAAGCTGAAACTTTGCTTCTCCGCCTGTGTGTGGGGGACACTCTGAGGGTAGTAGGTGACGGAGTCGTCTTTGGGGCACACTGTCTCAATGAGGGTGTAGTCTGAGGGCACCGTGGGGTCGGAGTTGGGAGAGATGGCACAGGTTACGATGGTGAACCCCAGCTCAGGATCTGTGGCGGCCGATGTGACCTGAAGAACACCAGAGAGAAGGAAATCCTTTATCATTAAATACATCTAAAATTGCAATAGCAAACATCTTTATGTTAGTAAGACTGAAGTCATAATTGTTCAGGGAAGTTGTTTCACTTTGTTTTCAGGGAATTCAATGATACTCTGATAAGCACGAGCATCATTATTTATACAGCTCTTATATTCCATTTACACAGAAGGTTGCTATTTTGAATCCACTTGTGATTGGTATTTATCTTTTCACCAACTACATATCCCAGGAACAAAGAAAATAAGCCATTTTGACAAACTGTTCCAAATGGACAAAATGATATATATATATGATAATACTTATGATAAATGGTTTCTGATGGTGACAAACCCTGTCAACACATTACCGATGTTAACTGAAACACATTTCTATAATTGCGATTCATGGTAATATCCCAAAAATATAATGCTTAAAGTTCCAAAGAATGGCACTAGACTCGTATCACTTAACCTTACATTCAATTAAGAAAGTATTTCATTTTCATAATGTCAACAAAATGAAACAGATTTCTCCCTGGGAAAATACAGGATAAATAAATAAAGAATAGCAAAATTGTGTGAGTATATTCTTCCTTACATGAAAAGTCCTATATTTAAAAAATAAGACTATTTTTAAATTCTTAATCTGCTGGCGGGGGTCAGTGTCTCTTTTTAAGTCTTTAATTTGAGTTTATTCATGATTATCCTGATAGTGAAAATTCAACATCAACTCCCACACTTAGGATACATTAGGGTAACAAGGAATACATATTTTTGAATAATGTACCTTTTCATCCTTAACAACCCCCATTGAGCATACATATAAACAGAAAGACTCTTTGTAACCAGCTGGCTCTGTCAGTAAAGCACCTCCCACTGATATCATCATAAATCATGTTGTCAAAGGACTCCAGAGTATGACCTCTATTATTACTGCTGTGGAATGAGGATGCTGAGACAGACAGGATATGGAGACACGTAAAGAGGAGATACAAATAATATTAGGGGGTAGAAAGTGAGAGTTTGGTTTTAAGACCTAACAAGATCAAATAGAAACTGACATGGCAGAAACTAATGGATGAAAGAAGGAAGAGCTGAACGGCAAGGACACAATATATAGAATAGTCCTTTTATTACAATGTAACACGTACCTCCACAAAGACTTGCTGCTTTTGTGAAACAGTGTAGAAGGCCTGGCGTGAGGGGTTGAGGATCGGCAGTTTGTTGTACAACTCCATTTTAAATGTCATGTTGCTCACTGGGTGCCTCCCTGGTCCCGGTACAATCCTGGGAAGTGTTGCCGAACTTTCCTGGTTCTTTCTGTACGTGCAATTGAACTGGGAGGAGAAAGAGACAAAAGCCAACGAAAATATCAGCATGGATCTGACGACTGATTTCAGTGTGCCAGTGTTTGACCACATTAAAGAGGGAGTTCTGACGTTGTGAAATGGTAGAGGTACTTATCCATTGTGAAATATATACAATAGATGACTGTATATAATCAATCAAACAAAGTTTATTTTGTATTGTTAAAATAAAAGATATAATGTTATTTATAATGTTGGCAGGCCCCCAGTTTGGAATAACAGACAGGATCATGCAATGTTCTGCTGTGAACAGGAGAAGCAGCTAACGGTATTTAGCTGCAGAAAATAAAATAGAATACATAATAATTCACCAAATGGTTTATTTTAAATATGTTGATATTAAAGCTCACACAGGCAGATAGAGCAGCTCGGGGAAGGTAAAGGCATCACTTATTAGACCTTGCCGAGTGAGTGCAGCCATGTGCAATGATGTGCTTGTGTTGGTGTATTCCAGGTATGCTCAAGTGATGAAAAGACGTATAGAAGTGTTAAAATAACTAGCGGTAATGCATAAATATTTATATCGTATATATAATTTAACAGTTAAAGGTGGGGTATGTAATTTTGGAGAAACCAGCTCGAGTGCGCTAGAATTTGAAAGTACAAAACCGGAAAAAATCTGCCTCTTCCTTCAGACTTCCTTACAGAGCCCCTCCTCCAACACACACGAACGCGCACATGACCAATGAGGGCACGAGATAAGTTTGTGCACAGATGGAAGGCTGACAGGCAGGTAGGCCATCCAGTTGTTTTAGCCGACCCGGCTAAAATGATTGGTCGTGCTTTTTACAGTATTACGGCTTCCACAGATGACATTTTTTTATGGATTCATTGTCAAAGCATTTCATGTATTCATTGCTATCGGGATGTTAAGAGCATTCCAAGGAATATAACAACAAGTGTTTCTGAAATAAATTACATACCCCACCTTTAAATGTCAAACATGTCATGTATGCTGTTCAATAGCTGCCCACTGCTCCTAGTACTAGACTCCTGGTACTAGGATGGGTTAAAAGCAGAGAACACATTTCACTGTGTGTGCTGTGTGTGCTGTGTGCTCTGCATGTGTGACCATTAAAGAGGGTTTCATCCCCCCATATTCTTCTTCTTCTTTCATCCCTCCATATTCTTCTTCTTCTTTCATCTCTCCATATTCTTCTTCTTCTTTCATCCCTCCATATTCTTCTTCTTCTTTCATCCCTCCATATTCTTCTTCTGCGTCACCGGCTAGCTAAATTGGGCTAATGTCTTTAGTATTATAACCTGTAACCAAATAGTGAGTTGTTTCTGTGTGCTGAAGAGTGTCAGTTAGTGTGTTATCGGGTTAATTGTGAGCAGACTTTTGGTATTTTATGTTTATCTAAGTTGGAGAATGTGAACAAATGTTTAGACAGAGACATCACTTATTAGAACTTGTCGAGTGTATGCCCAAGGCAGTGATGTGCTTGTGTTTGTGTATTTCAGAGATGAAGTAAAAGGATTCTTATTTTAAACTTATACAAGCCTTAAGAGTTCTTAAAGTGTGCAACATTTTTATCAAAGAGGTCTGGCTTTGAAGAGAGCATAGATAACAGCGTCAGATCTTTTTTTAATTGGGCTGTCAGACAGCAAGGTAAAGTGGTGAAAACATTCTTAATATAGCGTCAACTTAAACTGATACAGGATTTTGTAGGTGTCTAAAATGTGATTCGCTCCAAACCAGTCACTTTTAGCTTCTGTCCTGTAACTCCTGTCTGTTTCTCCAAACAGGGGGGCAAGTTGACCTCCATTTACTATAGTTAGCACAAACTATGCATAAACCCCCACTTCAAACTATGCTAACTATCCCTTTAGAATGGATCAGGAAATGGAGAAAGAACACAAGAGATACTCTATAGACAAGAACAATAAGTATGACACTGGGAATGGATTAGACAAAGGAAAATAAGTCAGTAGAGGGAGGAAGATGGAGAAACTTCAAAACGGAAAAAGTCAGATCAAGTTCATAAAACAGACATCATGGAAAGAAAGACAGATTGTAAGAGCCAGATGAGTTTTTACATGCAGCAAGGGGGTTTACTCCCACTCTGCATGAACTACATAGAGATGTACAGTAGATGGTCTTGTCTATCAACTCTCTCCCTGTTGCCGTTCTCACAGAGACAGAACCACAATAGTTCTGCTGTCTTACCCCGATGACGGACTGGTGCTCTGTGGGTTCCGTAAACCTTCTGTCTAACTCCACCGGGTCTCTTGGGAACAGCATTTCTCCTGCTTCTAGATCCTCATAATCCAGCGGACCACCACTCCCATCCTTGGTCTCAGCATGACTTATCAGAACCTGCAATCCACAGAGGGGGCCGTTACTCACAGAACCTAAGCCACATCAGTTAGTGAGTGAAACATAAATCCTTTCCAGATTTTCATATTTCTTTTAAACACATCCAGTTGTGAGAAGTGTTGCTTAAGTCCGGGTGTTCACTAAGCCACAGGCATGGAGATTTGACTATTGGAGAGGAGGTTGCCAAAACATTCTGCAACCAATAATTTGGATTTAAAATGTGGGAATGTCCTGTGGTTTCAGCACTGGGACTCATCCTGGACAAAAACATAAAACATACTTTAATTTCTCTGTAGAGCAGAAGAATGTCAGGGGTCTGACATGAGGACATGCTTCTCTAAGAAAAGTCCGATGTAATTATGTGAGAGGACAATCTCTGTGACACCAACAGTGTTTTTCTTGAGTCTGCACCAAATGAGTTAGTTGAATTGCCTTTGGTGCCACTGCTGAAGTAAATCAACTTGTCAAAGGACAGAAGAAACAACAGCCAAAGCACATTATCTCCGAAGTGTGGGGATCTACACAATGAAGTTGAGTCTCATTTGACTGGAGGTCAGAGGTTATCCCTGCATTCAAGTGCAAACACAAAAGACGACCTTGGACTTGTGCCCAGGTTTTCATTCTGCATGGGACACAAAATGTGTTGTTCCTAATTTCCTCCACAAAAGATCTCAAAAGGTTGGGGAGGAAGTGATTCATCCTTGCTTGTTAGAACAAACACACTGAGTGAATGCATTCCACAATAATGAAGACAACTGGGGCTGTGAGACTGTTCTCACACTGGTAACCATAACATGACAATGTGCTCATAATTGTGTCATATTGCTTGTATGTATTCATACAAAAAAAAGGTTTTAACAGTTTGTGGAAGAAGTGTTTAAGCTTCAAGGGTCAGAGAGGATATTTGCTATTAGCTGTTGATGTCTGATAGCTGACATTATTGGGAAATATGTTGTCAACTTCTGTGATGCTAGTGGCTTAAACACATTATTTTCCAACCAGTCCATATAGTGAATACAGTTATGTATCAGCAGTGGTTTATGACTTCTTTGTTTAATTTGAAAATATGGAAGGTTGCCTGCTATGCTAACTAGCTTTTACTCATAAACGGTTTCAACCTAGTAAGCCAGTTAGCCAAGTTAGCGTAGTCAAATAATAGCTCAAAAAAGTGGCCCCAGGGCTGGATAACTGCCTGTGTTTTTGATGTCCACCCACACAAATACTGCACTAAAATGAAGATAAAATATGAAGGGTATTGCTATTAGTGCAGAACATTTTTTTCTTAAAATAAACAAGTCGGTTGTAATTGTATGGTTGGCAAAAACACATTTGAATTTCAGTTAAAATGTTAAAGTAAAAGAAGTAGGACCTGTTTGTTTTAGTAAACACAGCATTTCAAGTGAGTGAATATTGGACTTAGCTTATATTCCCTTACCATTTTGCCTTCCTATATTTGAGTTTATTCAACGCGTATAAAATGGCAAAAACATTTTCTAAGCTTTCTCTTGGATGCGTGCTGACTACAGTATGTGGGACCAAATCAATACGTCTTTATGGAGGTTGACACCCTGAAATGTCACAAACACAGAGAGCATGGTCTCTGCAAATGCCAACACACACTTCTAGTGGGAAATGAGGATTGAGAGGGATTCTTTTTATATAAGTCTATACATAGTTTATTGGGGGAAATCCTACTCATTATGCCTTTAAAAACACTGAGTTTGTTTGTACATTATAACCGGGCAGCCCATTTCCATGGTTAAGGTTAAGCAGCTTTGTTGACATGACTTGCTGTAGACTAACATGTAATAATGGGTATTGTACTCACAGAGTTGATGTGGAGGGCCATTGGGCTGCCCTGCATGGGATATACAGTGGTCAGGCAGCCAGTCAGAGGAGTTTCCAGGGTGTAGTGGGTGGCATTCACTGTTGCTTTGCATGCTGGATCTTGGAGCGTGAGGTTGGCATGAGCAAACCCATTCGCCTGAGGAAACATACAAAAATGGCAACATTGAGTAAAGATCAAAAAAACTTTTACTAACTCATTTTCATAATAACATTTAAAAAAAGGCGAAGTGGTTGTGTGAGACTTTGGTTCCCAGGAATAAACAAATCCCACAAGGTGGTCTAGCTCCAGCCCCAGCTTCTCCTAATTACAGTGTATGCCAGTTTCCATTCTGTGATGTGGGCTAACTGCGCAGGCCCGTGTTCAGACGCCAAATGTTGGGATGTGGTCACTTAAATACAAAGTAATAGAACAATGACAACATTGTCATTAATGCTAGTTATTTTCACTTTACATTTGGTGACCTGATATCAGGTTTTTCTCAATCAGCAGGCTAACCTGATCTCTGCAGCTCAAAGCCCACACATTAATCATCGATCCATTCAGAGCCCTAATTGGTCTGGACACTGCAGTTCTCTTTGTGTGTTCTGTTCTCCATTGTTTGTTGTTTTCTGTTCATCTTGTCACATCAAGTCTGTGTCGCAAGAGCAGAAATGTGCAAACAAAACACCCAAAAGCAAATGTGATTGATCGGACCATGAAACAATTTTCAGATGTGCGACTTGAAAGGCATTTCAAATAATCGATGACACTGGATTAAGTGTGGTTGGGAAACAAAATATTTCATTGGCTTTGTTCTTTGCTGGAATAAAGCATTATCACACATTGAATATACAAAATTAACTGTTGTTTTTGTCTATTTAACATAAGAGGGGAACATATCTTAACTGTTTGCTTCTTTACTCTAAGATCATGTTGCTTAATCTGTTTGATGATTGACAGAAAATGTATTTATTTAACAACTAAGTAATGCACATATTTGATAGCTAATGTTTTCTTTATCTCTACCACGTTAACTTATATGCTATAAAGAAATGGTATGTATGTGTGTGTCTGTATGAAAGATGTGGACATTTTTATTTTTGGTAAACGTTAAGTATATATGAAATGATGCCTCCTGGATTGAACCCCAATTCAATTAAACTATTTAAAATAACCATTACTTTAGCTCTGTACGTTTCTAGGCAGAGGCGTCCATAATGGATGAAATCTTGCTCTCCACTCACTTGCAGGCTTTCTTTTTCGATGCTGACCACCATCCTCGTGGCCTCACACTGCACGCTGAGGCCCACGTTCAGAACTTCATGATGGTCCTCGGGCTCTCCGTTCTCCCAAGGCCGCTCATTGATGGAGGGGGGCAGGCCGTCGGGCTGAGGCGGGGGGAAGTGGAAGGGCAGGCTGGAGCGCCGGGAAGCAGCTCCCGGCCTCGCATGAGGACTGGAGTCACGCAGGATGGAGAGCTCTGGAAGCAACATGCTCTCCAGAGGATCCACCACATCTGGAAATCACAAATTGTAATAAGTTATTATATATATTATATTAGTTATGAAGAAATTGCATCAGCTGCTAAAATGTATGTATGCGCATATTAGTCAAGCTTCACTGGAAAAACGATTATGTCAACACATTTCTCATAAATGTATTAGGTTAGTTGAAAGCAATAATATTAAGTTGAACCTACTTTTTCAACTAAACTTATAATTGCTTACCTAATACAGTTATGTGAAATCCTTTACATAGTATATTTAATTAAAATTGACGTTTCCGTTTTTTCAGTGTACAACACATTATTTCTGTTTCTGCTTCAGTGGAATTAAATTGAGAGGATGTTTTTTTTTACCTCGCTCTCTAAGTCGGATAGTGAAGTGGTTAGCAACGGGAGTGCTGGTGTAAGATGTGACAGGACCGTAGCCATGGTCCCCCGCCCACTTGATCAAGGCTTGTGACCCCAATGGCAAGTTCTCCTTCGGGGATTTTGACACCTGCATCAGTTTTTGTGTATTGAAACTAACACTCACGGTATCAGAGGCCTGTGAAAAAGAAAAGCAGAGGTGTCATTTATCTTGTAGAAAAAGACAACATTTGCATAAGCTCCTTTAAGATGTTCAGGAAACAAAATACATAGTTTACTGTTCCAGAGATGTTAAACTTCAAGTTCAGTCCTGTTCTCATTCTGTGTCAAGTGTGAATCATGTACAGTGTGAGTGTGAGGTAATGGGCGTGTCACCGCTCAATCAATGCTGAGAAACCAACATGTGAGTTTCCCCCATAAAATGTGTCTCCTGCTCTGATTCAGACCTTTCCCACACATTCAAGTCTCTTAAGCAACTCTGAAGAGAACCCGTTGTGTGACAGAAGCAAGGCCTCAGTTTTACGAGGCTATCATATCACATAAATAATTGACACAATCCCAAACACTGGTTGCACAAGGACAGCATCCTGCACCCAAATTCAAACTGTCAGGAATTTGGCAACAAAAAGGGGTTTTGTGTTTTAGACCGACCATTCTGCTTTGGTTTAACACTGATGATAATGTGTGGCAGCTACAAAGCAGTAGTAAAACTAATGTATTTGTTGTCATTGTCTGACTTTGGTCAATCCGAACTAACCCTTAAAAATACAAAAGTAAAAAAATAAGAGAAACAAGCCGATTGAGCCAGTGATAGATGAGCAAATCCAGTGTTCTGTGAGTTCAAATTAATTAGGTTATTAAATGTGCCTTTTTCTAGGTGGCTTAAATATGTTTGCTGTTGTCTATCAGAACTATCCCTGAAAGGTCTGCTTAATGCATAACAATTGCTTTGTGCTGATGAACGTACTGCAGGCTTTGACCTGGTATCACACTCACACAAGCTGACAGACACACTATACAGCAGTGACCAGGCAGCTGTACAAACACACTGCGCCTGGTAAAAGTGCTGTGTCATGGCTGCAGCAGCCCTGCAGGAGTATCAGCGTTACACAGTGAGGAAACACAGAACCCCTCACACAGCTCCACTGAAATGAGCACAGCAAATCATACCGTAAATACCGAAAGTCACCAGAAAAGGAAATATTTTGAGAAATGCCCAACATTAGTGAGTCTCTTTCAGTTTTATTGCACTGATTTCTTATTTCACTCTGGAGAAAGAAAATGTTCAACATTTCAGCCCTGGAGCAAATACAGTGCTTGGAAAACTGCCAATTCTCCATCAAGATGATGTACAGTTAAACTGTTCTTCCAAAGTGTACATAGGTGTCATATTCTTATAGTTCCTAATATCAAATCTGTAAACTCAGCTCTGTTATGTGTAAAACTATAGTCCTAAGAATCATTCTGATATACTTCAGAAATAAGCCAGTGTTTGTTATTTGTGTGTGGCGAGGAGGTCCTAACAGCTAGCAGCTTAAGAAAACGCCTGAAGAGAACTGCTCATATTTCACATTGTGACTGATGGTGATGGGAAGCAGCTTTGTGCATCTCAAGTGCTGCAGTAGCTTTGGCTCTAAAAATATGTGATGCTCCCACCACCTCCCACTCCTGGCTCTCTCAATGTGATGACATCCCAGAGCTGCCACAATGACATTTCACAGTTCCTCCTAACCTGTTATCCCCCCCCCCCCTGCAGCGGGGACCCGGCGCCAATTCAACACACATTCTGGTGTGACACGTTCTTTGGGAACTGGTGTAAAGTGATGACATTTCTGTCTGGAACATGACTTGTGAGCCACTGTGATGTTTGATAACACAAATCTCAGTGTTGATGTCTGTGAAGGAATAAAAAAAGATGTTCCTGAATGGAAAGCTGTCTGTTTTTCATGCTTACCACTACAACCAGGTTTCCGATCACGCTGTGGGCCTTGATGACCCAGTTCACGGACTTGGCGCACTTGAGCAGCAAGATGACGTTACGATGCAGCGGGGCATCGTCGTCCAGAGGCCGTAGATCCACTATGACATCCACCTGGAAAGCACTGCAGAGAAGCAGGGAGAGAGGGGAAGATATTTGGACGTTTAGATCCACAAAGTGTTATCACGCCTTCTGTGTCTGGCCAACTAATTAAAAACCTGGATGCAATCCCAGAAAAAACGCAGACATATGCAACACAGACCAGAAAGCATTGCAGAGAAATACAGCGCAGATATTCCCAGATTTGCTTTGCGTCTTTGGAATAATCACTCCATTGGGGGAGTGAGGATATTATCTGGCAACATGAACTTTGAGACCCACTTTTGAAATATCTCTCAAAAAACAAACCTCCACTGAGTGAACAGTAACCCCCCAACTGACTTTCCATCCAAAACAAACTCCATGGAGATTAGTGAGAGCATCTTGACCTCGAAAATAAACTATGACTACATGTTTTCTTGGCTCCGGCCGCTCACCTGCTGGAGTTGGGGGCTTGCAGCTCAATGATGTGGACCTCTTGGTCTTTGTCGGGTCCAGACAGCACACAACCCTTTGATGTCTGTGGCTCCACGTAGCCGCCCAGGTAGTTCAGAGACAGGAACTTGGTATCAATCTTGCAAGTGTCAGAAAACAGTGGATCTGAAAGAGAAAGAGTTGTTTACGTTACTGGTTGGGGGTTCTGTGAGGCTATAATGATCCCCCAAAGGAGAAATACGGCTTTTTGTTACCCCACACCACAGGAAGGTCAGAGCCGGGGTCAGCTACAGAACAGCAGCCGTGCTTCTGGGAGATTTCAGTGCTCTGCGTAGGAGACTTCAGTAGGGTGGATGTTTGAACAGTCTCCATGCTAACCTCACCACACAGTCCTGCAGCGCTGGTTACCATTGTACTAGCAACAACTAGACATGACAATTAACAAGTGCTAATAATGCTAAATATAATGGGTAAATCAAAGCAAGCCAAATATAATCCCTCAAACAGTGGATTGGGATTCCGCTGCGCTTGAAAAATGTATTGGGTTATTCCCTCACCACTGCTACACTCTGCCACAACATTTTATGAAAATGCAGCCTGTAGTTTTTCCGTGTTCCTTAAGGTTCTGGTACCGTAGACCTTAATACTACATTGGCAAATACCTTATTACTCTTTTATTTTAGTAGGAAGGCCCTCAAGAAAGCCTGACAAAAATGTGTGTGTGCAAATTCTTATATATATATAAATATTTATGTAGCTTTTATTATGAAACCTCAATTAAATATAGAAAACTGAAGACACTTTGTTTTTTTTAACTATGTTGTTTTCTGAAGCAGTTAAAGATAAGAAATATTGTAACTGGCATTAACAGTAAAAAGAAAAACACTTTAAAGGTCCGCCCTGAATTATGTTCCCAGTCCGGCTCTGTGTTGGATGGGTTGGGCGTGCTCTGGTTGGCATGACCTCTTCTTATCAACAGGGACATTTCTCTTTTGGTTTTTACATGGGAAAACTAAACAACGTTTTTTCAACCCTAGTTCCTGTACAATAACAGGACAAAGTTATTCATATACAGATTTTATCAAACGTTCTAGTGTTTTTTCTCCACTTTCACTGCTGTTCAAAAAATTGGTTAACTGCTAAGAAAGTACTTTTAGGTCATAAAAAGTTACACCCTTCTCAGCAGTCAGATAAAACACAAGACAGCTGCTTCCTTATTTGGCAAACAGACTTCTTGGACAAAGTGTAAACTGAAGGCTGGCACCTTCCTTTCCGGAACCCTTGTGACACTTGAAAGAGCTAAAGGGAGACCTTGAGTACGGGAATGGTTAGGAAGCACAGTGAGAATGTGTCCATCTTCATGAAACACTACTAACGATGTCAAGGAGTGGAAATCTACAGCTCTTTACTCGGAGTAAACATCATGGCACTCTGAGCTTTTGCCAAAACCACAGCCCCTAATGACATAAGCCAAACGCTCGCAGGCTGAGCAACCACTCTGCTCTCCACAGCAACTAACAACACTGAGAGAGAACCTATCACCGGTCCGGCAGTAGAGGAGCCATTATTTATTTCCAGACATGAGTTTTGTTTTATTTCCATGTGGTGAAGGATGCTCATTAAAAACAAGATGTCCTGTCTGAGAGCTGATGCATTGGGAGGTTGGACGTGCTGTCTGTTCACTGTATGGACCGGCCAGTAGAAGATGAAGAATTGAAAGTCAACAGTTCTAACATGTGTGAAGATCACTCACAGCTTCCCCTCAGAATCCTGCAGTGCTTCCTCAAGCCACTCAGAAATAAGAAGTTGAAATGCTTCTACAGTCCTGATGTGGGTTTCTTTCTTTGTGGTGCTGGACAGTTAGTAGCAGTAGCATGTAAATAAGTGTAGCAATGCTCCCACAAAGGCACTCAAGAAGAAGATCATCCAACATGGACATACATATTGCATGATTAAAAATATCCCCAGATCTGCCTTGCTAGTGTCTTAATAGGGAGCCATTGCATTCATCAAGTGTTTTAGACCACAAAGATAAATGCAATTTGTTGTGGGAAAACAAAAAATGTAAACATAACTTTTGTCTGTTAACAAGAATACTCCATCAGTGTATATACATAGGCATTGGTTATTAATAATAATAATAATAATAATAATAATATTAATTGGTGATAAAATGTCGTATCTAGATTTTTTCTGTTCAGAAAATGTGTCTAAAGATAGGCAGTTGCCATGCAGAATAATTTGACCTCAATATGAAAGACATATTGTGCTGAATCTCTTTAAATAATAAAAAGATTATTATTATAGTCTTCAAACTGCTTCACTTGTGTGTGCTAGTGAATTAATTAATTAATTAAAGTTTTACGCACTCTCGCGGGAATATCTCCGCAATGGAGCGAGTTTAAGTTTCACTTTCGATTGCATGATATAGCCCAGCGCAACACCTTCGTCACACATGTTGCCACTTGTTTGTACCATTTTCAGGCGATTTGTAATCTGTTCTAGAAAAACGATGTGTTTTTAGGATTTCAAGAAGCATATAGAACAAACAATGGATGTATTTTATGAACATTTATCCATGCTGGAAGTAGATTTAGATGTTAGGAGTGAGATCGAGATTATTATCTAATATATGCATCCAATGAAGCATTGCATGAAGTCTGTTGATGATCAGAGGCTGTTGTTGGGGCTGCATAAACGTTTTTAATTTTTAGTTTTGTAGGCAGACCATGCAGGCCAGCCCGATGGTCACCAAGGTTCATGTTTTAATAGCATTTTTACAAAAAAAGCCCAGGCGAGCCTAACATGTGAAAAAATAGCTTAGACCTCAGAGAGTTAAACTTGGGCCTGCAACCATAGTTTTACTGTATTTAGTTTTGAAAATCCACAGCGGAGGTTTGTGTCATACTACATGCGGTGTATTTTGCATATCTTTCAGTAGCCAACTATCTGTGAGTCTGTTGACTCAGACATAAACTCCGTAATAAATGTAGTCTACATTTCATAAGAGGTGTAAAACCTGTGAGCATTTTAAATCGCATTTGAACTAAATCAGGCTATATGCAGGAATCCTGAAGTCAAATGTAATTCCTTTTAAGACCTTTTTTAAGACCCTTTCCATACATTTTAAAACCTCAAAACTTTAAGTTTTAACCGGTTACATTGGCGACACACTTGACCTCACATTTACTATATACAGTATTGATTGTCCTTCCTCCTTATCTTCCAACCATTTGGACGCAAACTTGCATTTCCCCATAACGATGTTGTTTAACAACCGGCGTAAACGGACCTTCGCGCGCTATCAAGCAGTGAGCGTGCGATGTCCTGTTCAGATGACGTCAAATCCAACGGGATGCCATAAATAAACGACACAGAATCACACTACACACCTACGCAATGATTACATTCAGGCACACACTAGAATACAACCTCTTTGGACAATTGATATACTTATTGAAAACAAGCTACAAAATGTAATACCTTGGAAAATGCCGTTTAATACTTTTTAATACTTTTTAATAGCCTTAATTTTCGCTAAATTGATTTATCAACTTTTAATACTTTTTAAGACCCCGTGGATAAATGCTTATATAATCTGTAGTTGTATTTGTATTGTTGATTTATTGTGTGAACGAGGCGATATACAGTAGAGAAGGTTAAGCTGTCATTATTAGGCTGTTATGTACTGTTGGAGTGGTAAGCAGGCCTATTGTTTTGGATATTTGAGGAGTTAGGTGGTCCGTGAGTGTTTTTTTATTGGTTAAGTGTCCTTGGTATGAAAAGGTTTGAGAAACACTGCGCTAGTGGATTGTCAACGGGGGGAGCCTTGCTGCGGGGAAATTATACAGATGGCTAGTCCGCCCCTGAAAAATGTCTATGCACACGTTATTATTAATAATAATTAAAAAAAATAAAAATTGCGACCCCCACTCGGGGTCTTGTGACCCCCACTTTGGGAACCCCTGCTCTAAAGTGACACTGCATGAAATGACCTGATGCCAGAATACTCAAATACATAGTCCATGCCCTTTCTGTATATATCTGAGGTCCAATAGTGCATGTGGCTGTAAGCAGCTCAGCTCAGAAGTACCACAGGTAGCCCGTTGAGGGAAGGAAATTATTTTCCCAGAGCAGTGCATGTGAACCTCTAGCCAGGGTTCAAACACAAAGCTAAGTAAAGTTATGGGAGCTGAAGGGGAATGGGGGGGGCGTGCCTTGAGGCATACAGCTATGTTGGGAATTTTGGGAATCTAGTACCTTCTCCGACTTTGATGTAGATGTCTTGAGTCATCCTGAGCTCAGAGAAAGAGGTGACGGCTCTGTACTTCTTCTGGGCCCAGTTCAGGAGATGCTCATTGCCATGGGAAAATGCCTCCTTCTGGATGTGGCAGGAAAGGGAGAAGTTTCCAGGCTGGAAGTGGACCTCTGAGCCCTCAGATACCTTGAAGAGAGGAAAACACAAGAGTGTAAGAGGACAAAGGCAGAACATGCCAACATAGAGGAGATATACACTGTAATAGGTTTTCTTTTCAGCTTTGGTGATGTCCAGCATCTATTTTAGTTCATTTAGTAGAACATTAATGCATCAAATATTCATTTTTTCACTTAACGTTTTAACACTCAAAAATCCAACTCCCTGTTGAGAAGGATATGCTCATAAAAAGTGAACTGAAGAAGAAGAACCTGCAGGCAGACTGAGAAAAAAAGAGCTCAGCCTTTCCAAAATTAAACCTGCTCTCTAAACATTGGTGAAACCCATCCTACACGCTCAATCCTTTCCGTTATTTCAAAGCTTCTACAAATATGCTCTGTGTATTTTGACACATGTTCTTCAACACAATATGCTGTCTGGTTTCCAGTGTTTACACCTTGTACTGCGTTGTAGTGCGTCATCACAAATGTGTAGTTCTGCTTTCAAATGGCCACAAGGGGATAACAGAGAAAACAAAAACACTTGGCACTGACAGACTGACTGACAAGAAGGACAGTAGTTGGGCACACACTCAAACCAGGTAATACATAACATAACATCTGAGGCACATGCTCGTTAGAGTGCAAGCATAAAAAACTAATGTTCAATAGACAATAACTTTTAGCACATGATACAACACTTTGTAATACAGTGATAAAAGTAATGGATGTCATAACAAATTCAAAAATGAGGAAGAAACCGTATCAAACATTTTAACATAACTTGAGTAAGGTAGAATTCTTAAAATATAAAGGATGTGCTAATTTGCGGTAAACAGGGAAACTGGCCTGGCCGTATTGAAGGGACCACCCCTTTAGCACTTAATGGAGCTCGGACCATATGCTTCATTTCAGAGAGATAAACATTCACATGTGCTGTAAAACCTAGCGAACAACCAAACTGAGTCCAAGCACACGGTCTAGACAGACGGTCATTTTATTTCCATGCTTGTTTTTCTTTCTCCCTAGGTATCCTATCTGTATGCATGAGAAGACAGTGCTGGCAGGCCCAATTAAAAACATGAAATCCCTTCTGAATCCAACAGGAATACGTTAGACTTCTTCTCTGTGATGATGTTATGAAGTCTTCCTAAATTGCAATCATGCTTTATTGATAATGGAATAATATCCCTTGGGGCGTTCAAGGTTTTCAGACATAACTGTTCAAATCCTCTCATTCACAACATCTGTCTGACCTCTGGACACTCCTCTCCATGTTCCTGGCATTGTCACCAGAGGCAGTGAATCCTGCAGGCCGAGGAGACAGGCTCCGTCGAAGAATTCAGGTTGATTTCATTTTTAGCGTTTACTACGGTGATAAGAAACAAAAATGAAAGATGGCGAGGAGGTGGAGCCCAGAGCCACTGAGGAGAGGCTGGAGTCTCATCGCTCACCTTGCCAAGCTCAGCAGAGTTTATCAGTTTAATTGCAGAAATACGACTGCAATTAGTCGCAAAGAATTAGAGGGGGAAAGCCTGAAAGCCAAACTAGCTCCAGGCCTTCCAGAGCACTGAAAACCTCAGGAATTTGAAACAGGGAAGTCACAGCCCCCCCCCCCTCTTTATCTCTCCCCCTATCTCTGTCTCAGTTGACAGATCCAAAGTACTTACAGTACAGTTCTATTTTCCTGCAGGGCAAACGCAGTATTTATGACATTATACTTGTGTTCAACAGTCTTTTTGGCGTGTCTGCTTGCATTGAGGTTTTAGGAGAAGCAGTGTTATGCTGATTTTATGGCTTGGTGTAATTTTGTAAAACAAAAATGAACGCAAATGATGGAGGCACAAACACCCCCCTTCATGAGACTGAAATCATGCTGCTTCCTTTACACACAGCAGACACAGTGTAGATAGCTTCATTTCATATTAGAATCTTCTGACCAGGCATTGGGATTCAATGTTAAGTGACCCTGTTCTTTTTCTATAACTATCTATCAAATCCAAAACCTATTTTGCATATGTTTGTTTTAAGAATGTTATATAAATGAAGACTGGGCTTTTGCAAATGGACTTGTTCTTGGTAATTGACTTGAATTTATTTATTTTGCATAGGAGGGATGTGAATTAGTATTTTTGAAACTTCAGGTGCTCTAAATCCTTTCGATGTCTCTCAGGCGCCCGTGCCTCTCTCCCCTTCTCTTAACGTGTTGCTGCTTTTATTGGAGATCACAGGAGCTTGTGTGATTGTTTTGTTTACTGAAACGAACCTTGACTCCACTTTTTCATTCTCTATTCCTCAAATTAATAATGTATTAAGCTTCTCTTCCACATAGCGTTTAACGTCTGATTGCATCTATTCTGCGCCTTTGATCTCTATCAAAAGGAGCTGATTTGTGGTTGTATGTGTAAACCTATCTGGCAATAAACTTGATTGTGATTCTGTGCACTGACCATTTGCTTGCGTGTGCGCCCTATTATAAGAAATTGGAGCCCTCGATAAGCTAGAAAGGAAAGAACATTGTTTTCCATGGGCATATGTGGAATATATAAATATAAATAAGTAGAATATGTAAATATAATTATATAATAATGATTGAAATAAACTGTTTACATAAGCTGTCAATCAATATACTCTAAAACTGTTAATTCTGTTGTTAAAGCACTCATATTTCAAAAATATATGTATCAGTATCTCTGAGTTGAGGATTAGAGATTTCTTCTGAGCTGCGAGCTTCGGCCCACTGCCAACTAAAGCATTACCCCTCTATAAGAATATAGATCTCTTATAAAGCAGTCTATTGCTATTACTGCCTGTGCAGGCCTTGTAATGTGTTTAGTACAAGAAAACTGGATCTAACCTCGATTTAAGAGGAATTCCTCAGACTTGGAAAGTCAGTTACACACCGTGGGGACTGAGACGCATGCTTTCATTTTGGTAATGGTAGAAACTCATGTACTTGTGCTTGTAAATGGTATTTGCAGACAGGCATGCAACTCCAACAACTCAAATGGTGACTGTTTTCTCCATGTATATAGATGTGTTAGCATACATACTAACATACTAATGTTAGCATGCTTATATCTGTTTAAGAGTACTATTTTAATGTATTTGAAATGGTCATAGAACACCTTTATTTAATCTTCATTATCTATAGTGATAGAAGCACATCTGCCAATACCCTATATGATCCTAAACATTCAACAGTACCCTTTCTGCCTGTAAGCACCAACATATTACAGCCGTATGCGCAGTCAAAATGAGAAGGCATACCAAATGTTTGAGATCAATTACCACAGAGCTGTAATCCTCCGCTGAGCAACACCCAGAGCCTGGGAAATCACAAATGTTTAGAAGTGAAGAGGTGTTGCAAACAGAGGAGGGGGGTGGAAAGGGTGGATGAAGAGTATGAGCATGCAATAACTCTCTGGTGATATGAATGTGATAAATGCTTGATCTCGTCTCTTGATGAGATACGGGAGTTAACCACGCTGCTCATGCATGTTCCTGTTATCTGGCAGGCTTGTTTGTGGGGAAAACAAAACCATATGTCTCAGCGCCACTCGGGAGCCTTACTCTGCCATCTCTGTCTCCAAATAAAAACCAATAGCGGCTACCCATGGTTTCCATAACATATTACACTGAGGAGAGTAGTCCTCGTGTGAGAGAGCGAAAGAGCTTATCCCTGTGAACGCAACACAGGCAAAGCTTGGCAAACAAACAATAGGCAGCACAAGCCAACAGCACAACTTTACAGAGTTGTTCCATCCAGAGTCACTAAACATTTGATCCAGATCAAGCCTTTCAAGCACAGATGCAACACAGCCCTCCTCAAAAAGAAATATAAACACCCTGCCAAGAAGTCAACACAGATCACTCTGCACATGTGTCTCACTTCGAGGCCTAGTGTCCCTTGCTAAAATACATCTGGCATGATTTCAATGCTCATACTTCATGGCGTTTTAGACCCGTGATGATCTCTGCCTGCGGCTGATTGACAAGGATTACTGCTGAGAACATGTTTTACAACAAAAATCTGGATTCTTGCATTTTTTAAAGGCGGCAGGGTCCAGAGGCCAACAGCAACAGCGTGCTCAGCGTCTCTGTAGCTTTTTCCAGCGGTCCATCTGTGTCCGCCGAGCCCAGAGCGCTGGGACCAGGAAACAAGGACTGGCAGGCCCGAATCAGAGTCCAATTAGTCCCAGGAAACGGCCTCTCCAGCGGACAGGCAGAGTGAGGGAGGTCTGGAAGTGGGTTTCTGTTCTGAAGTGTTAAGCTCAAAAGCAGTTCCTTTTGACTCTGTTACTGTATGATCTGACCACACAACTTCTCCACCTGGGAGGCAGCGATCAGAGAGTGTGGGAACTGGCAAGGCCACTAACACCGAGACCTTTGTGGTCATGGAACACATGTACTTTTATGGACTGATACAAGTTCTTGGTTTAATTGACTGTTCCTCAAACCCCTCCCCAAAGTGATTGTCCAAATGTAACTAGGTGAGACAGACCTGCCAAGCCTGGTACTTGACCATATGTTGGAGCAGAGCACATGGGCTGCAGTAAAAGACTCAGCATTCAGAGAGTTTGGAGTGTGGTTTCACACAACTTGCCTTTCAGGGATGAGCCCAGAAATGTTCCTATACCTGGTAAGCTTCTATCAGTGCCTCCCTGTTAACACCAATTATATTAATGTAGTTTATATTTTGTAATTGATTCTGACTGCAATCACAGTTAATGATAATGTTAGCTGCTCAATAGAAACACCCAAGTGCCCCAAAAAATTGGTCGTCCTTTGCACTTTACGCAAAATCTACAACAGTGTGCATCTGTAGTGAACTTTCATCTGCAATTCATCATTGATCAAAGGAGTCAAAACATTGTTCTTACGGTGGGACGGTGTCTGTCTCAGGTATCTGAGTCATGTGGCATGTTAAGGAGGTGTCACTGTGAAGAGAACCTAAGACCTGGGCCTGGCTCACAGCCATGTGCAGTCAGATACCGACAGCTAGCACTGCCACATGGCTCAGTGCTGTCACTCAAACACAAAATACTTAACACCAAATTCAGTGGGGGCCCCCGGAGCCAGTCAAAGCCATTAGCTGAGCTTTGTCTGACTGCAGGGACCTCCTTCTAAACTCTGATTCTCTTTATCATCATGAGACAGAGTGTCATACTGTTTGGCCAACAAAGGAAGCTAATACTCCAGGTTTGTCTCAGAAAATATATTGTTGCTTTGAGAAAAAGCTAAGTATGTTCGCTACTGAAAATAAAATGATTATACACATTCCTCTATTACAGGCTGTATCTTATCATTAAAAGCAGCCCATTTTTACAAGAGATAAAAGAAAAAAGGAAAACTTGTTTCTGTGGAAAAGCACTGGTGTCCAACATCATTAGACGCACAGCAACAGCTCTGCCTGGACTGTAAGCCGTAATGAAGGCTGTCAGCTGTTCTGTGTCTGCCAACACTGACAAGGGGAGACAGTTACTATGATGGTGACCTGCTGCTCTCTGCACAAACATCCATCTCACTGGCCCCACATTATCACAGCTTAAGGGAAATACAAGCTGGCCAGATGCATCCATCTGCGTGATATGCAACAATTTCCCTTGACATGAGAGCATTTATTCTCATTACTACAGGAAATAATGATTAGAAGGAGAACTCGGCACTCGGGCCTCACCCTTTCATGTTGTGTTTTCTATTAAGTAAGTACATTTCTTTTTTTTTTTTTAAAACAGATTATCTGAATTGATCAAAGTAATGCTCTCTAAACATTTTTGTTTGTATGACAGATGAATGAAAGGCTGTACCCTAGCCTTTAACTGCACCCATTTTTTAAATGTACATTAAACACTCTCAATGGTTCACTTATATATCAACTGGAAGTCATATGTCAGATAAGCCTAAAAAAGTCCCATATGGTAGAAGACGCACATTAATACGCTGCCTGCTCAAAACGTCCACAGACTCTTTATATAATAAATGTGTGAGTGTGTGTCGATGAGCCTGTGCTTCATGCAAGGATTTAGCAATTTCATATTTTTTTCTCCGTGTCACATCGGCTTTCACGGCAGAACATTATGCGCATGACAGGTAAGCAAGAAAACACTGGCCCACATATGGGAATCATTTGTGTACCTGATACTGCATTCTTGGGGAATGCTGTGGTGTTAACATACAATTGAAAATGATTACTTCTGGGAAGCCAAAAATGCAGGAAAGCCTTCGGAGCATATAAAGGCAAAGAAAGAAAAAAAGTTTTCCTCGCAATATAGTATGGTTAAGCCAAGGCTGAGGCTTCTGGGTCTCATTTTGCTGTGATTTTCTCATGTGATACACAGGCTTTAAACATGGGCACTGAAGGATTCCATTTTTACATTTTTTATTAAGTTTCCCAGCGAGTCCCCCTGGTACCTTCACTAAAAAAAGTCTGGCTCTCCAGGGGACGGAGCACCAACTACACTGAGATATCCCTCCACCAAAACATCTTCTCTTCCTCCCACATACAGTATGTACTCTGGGGCGAGACAGTAACTTTTAAAAGGTCATGGACAGTCAAACACCATTTCACTATTTATGCAATAGCTACTGTACATACAGTATGCAGGGTTTCTCTTGCTTGGTCTATCTCTGTTTGTTTTACTTTTGGTACAGAGTCCTATTCTTATTTTTGTTTTCAACTGTTGGTAGTAGTGTGGGGGGGGATTTTAGCTAACTATGTGATATTGCGTAAAATAGCCTTGAAATCCTCCTCAACGCGGCTCTCTTGGATCCTTTCATCTGCAACCAACATATTGTTCGGTCTGGTTTGTTTTGTTGCCATTTTCTTTCTTTTTTCTAGGACAAATGAATGAAAAAACTTGCAGTTACTATAACCGGTAGCCTGGTTATTTAAAAATGGCAGTCTGGTACAGGATGTCCAGTTTCATGCGATAGACGCTTCTCTCTAAAGATGCAGTTGTCTGCATTCTTTAAGCTTCACTTTTGACCTTTATCTCAAAAAGTGTCAGATACTATTTGGAAACTTTTGCTTATGGAAAACCTAAATACAGCTAGTTGAGTTGAGTAGAGCCGTGTCATAACATGCAGAGGAAATGTGTCAATATTCTTGGGTCATAACGATGATTGAGTGTCCTGTTGATGTTGCACATCTGGATGGGTTTTAGCCTCCCCAGTGTATTATTAACAAAGAAATTAGCAATAGAATTCCAGATTTCAGCAAATTACACAGGGTGAGCGATCAGCTCCTTACTCAGCAAATGTTAGTGGTTTAGTGTTTGCTACCACACATTCCCCGTTGTTAGGGGTTTTTGTGGGATACGGATACGCCCTGTCTGATTTGGACAGCTGCCAAGCTATCAACAGGACTGTTAACAGGAGGGAGGGAGGGAGGCGTGGGGGACATGGCCCTGTGGTTATTGAGTGTGAAAATAGTTGACAAAGCACATCACAACTTTTCAGATAAATATATTTTCAAAACCAGGATGTGAGTAAGGCAGGAGTTTAGCAGTATAAAAACTAATTTCACAATAACCTACTTGATAATTTGATAAGACACAAAGAATATAAATATTAGCCAAACTTGCACTCATCTTAAACCCCAGTGTTCTGAGAAGAGTGCAGAGCTGTAGCTAAATACGTTTGCACTAAATGTGTACACAGAGATTGATGCCTCGCCACAAGGACTGCACCTGCATGCCTCAAAGACTCCTTTTGGCGTGTGGAAGGGCCTTCTCTGCAAATGTACATCACTTAAATGATTTTCCTCAAAGAGGAAGGCTACTGAAATGGGAGTACGGTTTAGCCTGTGAGGAAATGAAAACACAGTTTTTAGGAAGTAGGATTTAAAGGCTTTTAGTGATGCTGGACTCACATGAAAGGTACGTTTAACGCCCAGGGCCAGGTTCTCTGTCTTGATCTTCCATATCAGCGGATGGGGGGAATTGAGCACGAAGACCAGTGGCTTCTGGTGGCGCTGCAGAGACTGGATGGGCTTCAGATGCAGCTCAACCTGGACAGGCAAAATAAAGGGATAAGAGTCAAATAAAGAAACAACACACTGGTGAACAGGTATCATATACTGAGGAAGAGCTGGGCATTAGCAGGGAACATTTAAAATGCATCACTTGATCCTATTTCACACAGCAACACTATGCAAAGCTTTGGTTTTCTCATGTTCACTGAGATGTAACCAGAATGATGAGGCAACACAGTTACTATCCTGGTGTAATCACACTGCTGTAATGTTGTAGATTGTTCTTCTTTATCAGGCTTCGTGGTTGTTTATGTACTCAGTTTGCTGATAAACTCGACAAGACGCCGTGCTGTGTTCTCCCTAAAAGGCACTTGCTGAGCTCTGATATGTAGCCTCAGCGGGATCTGAACCTTCACACAGAGGATTCTTTGTTAACAGAGGGGAAAGAAAGTGGCGGGTCTCTGTTACCTCTGCAGCATGCAACTATGCCTTTGATTCTCAGATGCTATTAAAATAGATTTTCACAGTCTGGTAGTGAGATAGGGAAAACCAACTTGAGGTTTTGTTGCCTAGACCGGGGTTGTTTTTTTGTTTCCAATGTTGGATTGGACAATTTGGTAATAATTAATTCAGGTGGGTCCTGGCCTGAGCATGCACTAAACTCAAAATCATCTCAAGGCAAGGATCTGTCTTTGTATTGCCCATTTAGACACTTCTAAAAGTAATACTGAATTGTTGCATTATGCCAGAGTTGTTATTAATCCTCTATTGATCTCGCTAGCTTTGATAAGAAGTGATACTCGAGAGGGTTATGTTGGTCTGTCTTACTGTACTCTCTTCTTTAAACTTCCTTCACTCTATATTCCCAGACTAATCATATTAGCCCCATCCTGCTTGTCAGCAATAAAAGCCTTTAAATCACTAATTCAACCCACAAGGGTTCATCTAATAGGATAAAACGACCCCTACAGTAATATAATCAGTCACAGCTAAATCGCTTTTCTCAACAAATACAGCATTTGGCCTTCAATTGAAGCTAAAAATGGAACCGACGATGTGTAATTACGAAGACGATGATTTGTGTTGACAGTTTCACATTAGTGGTCTCTGAACCATGAAAAACCTTACAAAACATTCATACGGATCATTTGTTTAAATGTGGTCGTGCCGTATCAAGATTAAGATCTACATTGTTAATGCAAACCATTAACATTTCTCAGCTTCAAACTTCTCTGGTACAATGCAGTTCTGCTAACCTTGTACATTCTATTCCAGTCACTTCAAAACAAGTATTTATGAGCAAAAAATACACTGTGCTCTTGGACTGAATTTTACGAGGGTAAACTATTTAATGTCACGTTATGTAATGTTCTGAAACGGAAATGTAGTCTAATTGTTCATTTTGCTTTATCACAAATGAAAAATATCCTAGCAAGCGTTGGAAGTGATACAATTATTTGGCAACTTTACATTCTGAAGTTGATCAAAGACATTTCTGAGTGTTGCCAATGCATTATTACCTAGTGACTTATCTTTCTGTTCTTTGCATGCCTACAGTATTTACACCACAGACAGTGGAGAAAGAAACCCCACTCTGTATCATTATGATACTTAAAAGGTTTAAAAAGATCAACTGAAGACTGACTGAAGACTGATCACTGAACTGGCTCTTTAAGTACATCAAAATGAACTGATTTCCTAACGAGCTAGCTCATTAGTGTAAATGACTGACAGCTGGTACTGTAGATAATCCTCCAGTTTACTTTTACAAGCACATCATATCATCCTTTTTAAGCTTTGAGCCCTAACATTTCCTGCTTTCAGGATGAGGTTTTGTTTGTGAAGCCACAGTTGGCTCTAGCAGCTACAGTGCATAGTAGGGCTGCCCCAAATTAGTCGACAAATCGTTAGTCGGCGAAAAAAGCCTTAGTCAGCTCTTTTTTCATTAGTCTATTAGTCGAAGGACACAAAAAAGAAAAAGAAAACTCCATCTGTGCACTGCATCAGCTTGAAAACCCGTCTAGTATCATTTGAGGTCATCGGATATATTTGTTTAGGCAGATACGTTTGTGATTATTCTTTAAACAAACCCATCTTGAATCTACCTATCTTATTGTCACAGCAGGGTTGCCAAGCAACATGCAGCAACCCCCCTGAGGCACTGGCTGGGCAAAGAGACAATATGTATATCCCAGAAAACACCAATAATCCAGAGATGTGATTATATATAACATTTTTGACACTTTTGGACAGAACCAGGTTATCTTGATTTAGTCTTTATGCTAAATTAAGCAAATCGGTTGCTGGTGAATAAATCATCTCAATCTCTAACATAACGTAAATAAGCATACTTTCTAAAACAATCCAGAAAAATACATATCTACTATTTCAGGACAACTGAGCAAACTCCATTTGCTGCTGAAGATCATGTGATATGATCAAAAGATCCAGAACAGCTTCTAATAAAATAGTAAGTTAACTGCTGTTTCCAAGGCCTATAATGAACTGTGCACCTCAACAAGCCTGCAGTATCTCATTCAGTTCCACACCATAAATACAGCCCTGTCGAGTATAATCACCATTCAAATTTCCATATCAGTCAGAAAAATTGCAATTTTCTTGTCAGTAGGAAAGATATGAAAAATATTGCTCTGTATCTTTGTCTAACAAGATGCTAGACTCCTGTCTTCCATAAAGGATATCTATTTCATCCAGTAAATTGTGATTTTCTTCTGGCTGATGCTCTGCGTTCAAAGCCTTGTCACTGTGATGCTGCATGAAGCCATTTAACAAGAGACACCGGCAGCAGAGACAGAGTGAACATGAAGCATCAAAGCCTAATTACCATCCTCCACAGATGTAAGCCCTGGAGGACAGCAACACAAACGACTGTTTAGTGATGTGGTCCATGAAAGTGCTGCACAAATCATTCAAAAGTCCCTTCGAGAGAAGAAAATGGAACAAATGACTGAACAGTTATCTATGAGGCAAACTGTATGGTGATCCAAACAAACAGATCAGAGACTCTTTTTTTCTTTTCCATTTTCTTTTGCATATTTGCTTCCCCTGAAGTCCAGACTCTGGAAAAAGCGTGTGCATCGCTCCCCTGAGAATATCAACAACCAAGATATAATCATACCTGTCTTGGCTTTGAGAGATGGAAGAGAGAAGCAGAAGGAGAATGAGAGTTGTAAAAAAGAGGAATTTTAAACCCAGACAGAATCACTTCCAGAAGACGTGAGTCACCTGAAAACACACGCATACACAGAGCTCAGAGGAGAGGAAGGGCCAAGAGGCAATGATGGTGAAAATAGGAGAAAGCTGTGATAATTATCTGCAGTTTTTCTCGGTTCAGCAAGTAAACAGAGATAAGTTCTGACCAGAGCCGGGTTGCACAATGTGAGCGATGATCAGGACTCCACAGCCAGAGCTGGAAGAAGTACTCAGATCTTGTACTTAAGTCAAAGTAGAAATACCAAAATGTAGGAATACTCTGTTACAAGTAAAAGTCCTGTATTCAAAATGTTACTCAAGTAAAAGTAGAAAATATTGGCATTAAAATATACTAAAAGTACCAAAAGTAAAAGTACTCATTCTGCAGATTGGTCCATTTCAGAATAATATATATGATATGTTTTATAATGATTGATGTGTTTATCAAGCTGGTAAAGGTTGAACTAGTTTAAATGATGTATTGCTGGGCAGCATGTGAATGAACTCCAGGTGAAACATTTATAACTAATGCTGTTGATATATTGTGATTTTAAGGGTGTCTATTACCATCTGGCCGGGGACAACAACTGGAAATTAGCCATGTCGGCTAAAGCTGCTCCATTTACTGTTTTTGTGACAGTTCATCGATGGGGACTGTCCACGACACTATAAATAAATAAACTAAACTAAACTAAAGTATTATATAAGTGTTGATCATATTGTTTATCATTAATCTTTATCTGCAAAGTAACTGAAGGTACTTCATACATTTTGTGGAGTAAAAGTACATGATTAACCTCTGAATTGTAGTGGAGTATAAGTACAAAGTAGCATTAGAGAACCCAGAGGTGGGAAGTACATTTACTCATATTTTGAGATAGCTGTAGTGTACTTGATTATTTCCATGTTATGCTATTGTGTACTTCTACTAGGTAAATTGTGTACTTAACCCCACTACATGTATGTTATACCTTTAGTTACTTTACAGTTTTGGATGAATGATGTGAAATCTAATCAAGTGTTAAATCAGACTTTAGTTCCACCTGGAGTAAATCCACAAGCTCCCCTGCAGTATACAAAGTCATTCAAACTAGCTGCTCCTTTACCAGCTTTGAGAACACTTTCATGATCAATCATTATAAAACATATCATATATATTATTCTGAAATGGACCAATCTGCACAATGACTACTTTTACTTTTGGTACTTTGAGTATATTTCGATGCCAATACTTTTGTACTTTTACTTGAGTAACAAAGCAGGACTTTTACTGTAACAGAGCATTCCTACACTCTGGTACTTCTACTTTTACTCAAGTACTATGTCTAAGTACTCCCACCTCTGAAATACCTCAAAATTGTACTTAAGCACAGTACTTGAGTAAATGTACCTAGTTACTTTACACTACTGGCGACAGCAGCTGGTGTGCATCTCTGCCCACAGAGCTTTTAGTTTTTCATAAGAGTGGTGTGCATAGCAACAGAGCCTGTCACACAGCCAGGGTGTGGAGGGAAGAGGAGCAGAACACCAGGCAGAGTGCCTCTAATGGTGTTGGCGAGGATCAGGTGGCGCTGAGTGTTCCCTCTTGATGCTTCCTTCATGGGACCCTGCAGGGAGGGTCTTCCGGGAACAAGAGGCCACGCCTGATTGATTATCAGGAGGCTGGCACAGGGATTTGGGGCTCCAGTGTCCATTACAGTTATGGGGCGCATTTGCCAGCAGCCACGGATGGAGGTTTGTCTAGACCTATCACGTTACTGAAATCTCACTCCACGCAAGGGACGACAGCTGTAGCAGGATATGCAAGGCCTGTCACAGAGCAT